CTGATTATACACAAGGCTGAACACACACACCCACAATTTTTTTGAAATTCGAAAATACCCCTTTACCCCCTCTCCCTCCCTCTCGCGCTCATCGCATTCCTTCAATAAATTGTAATCGAGTCACTGGCATTCTCATCATGCCACCTGTTCGAAAAAAGCTCCCCAACTCAATGTTGGACAACGCGAGAGTCCGCCCGAGGGCTCCTGAAAATACACCTGGCCTCGCGCAAAAATTATCAAGCCTATTTGCGAGTGAGGCCTTTATCCCTGGGAAGTCTTCCACACTTCCCGATCAAGAGATGACTGATTCCGACCCGATCAGAACAGAAACAAATGGTCAACAGACCGCGAAACCCGCCGAGCTGGCCCCCGAGGCAAGCAGTTCCAGGAAAGGAAAGGAGGTCGTCAGAGAAAAGACGACCGAACGTGCAGAATTGCCAGCCGGAAAAAATGCTGTGCCAGCCTCAAAAGGCGCAGCTTCGACATCAGCACCGGAATATCGCCCGGAGCTGCAATCAGTGATGGAGGCTGAGAAGCGTCGCACGATGCAAATCAAGGCCCGTTTATCAATCTGTTCCACTGCAATAAGCAGTGTTGAAGCAGCACTTTCGCCTCTCTCGATTGGCGACGAAAAAGAGTTTGTAGACGGCATCAAAGTCTACCTTCGAGCGGCCATTGGCCAGTTCATACAATCAGGCCCAGGGAGCACTCCACCAGCTCTCCCTGCGCGCCCCAGCAACCCTCCTCCGCCGAGGGCTCATGAAATTAGGGTACCTAACCCTACGACAACCCAGGCTTCGGCCCAAAAGACAACTTGGGCCACAGTAGCCCGTGCAGGTCTAGGCCGCAGCGCCGGGCCGTCGACTACAAAGGCAGCACCGCCCGCCCCAAAAGCAAAAAGTGCCAATCCGAGGACAAAAGTCGACGCGAGACTTTTTCTACGCCTCAAAGCTAACCACCTCCACCGACTCCTGTCACCAGCTGGCGTAAGATTAGCTGTGTCACAGGTGCTTGGTACCGCTGCCGACGACATCACGTTGGTTCAGCGGGTCAAAACAGGCTTTGCACTGACAGCAAAGAATGAACTCGCTCGTAAAGAACTCCTAGATTCCTCCATGTCACGGAGCGAATCTGGAATCAAACAGGAACCAGCGTCAAATCTGGTTGCCTTGCAAATTGCCACCGTACCGGTGACAATAAACACACTTGCAGGTCCCATCGAGATCACGGCAAAGATGGTTGCTGACGAAGTCACGCGAGTGACGAAATCGGTTCCGTTTCTTGTCCGTCCGCACGGGTACTGCAAGCCAGGGGCGCCATACGAGAACTGGCAAGCCCTCTTTCCTCGCGAGTCCACGCCCCGACCTGGATTCTGCCTCTTCGACGATTCTGGAGCTGCGAAGCTCTTCCGACCTCGTCAACAACTCGAACAGTGCAAACGTTGTCTTGGCTATCACGCCAGCCGCGGATGCTCTCGCGCTCCAGCTTGCTGGAACTGCGGCTCAAAGATGCACTCGGAAGTGGAGTGCAAGGCCCTCACACGATGTCGCAATTGTGGGGGACCTCACCGATCGGACTCTCGGCACTGCCAAGCCAGACCCAGAAAAGATGGACCGGTGACCAAGGACCAGCTCGCAGCAATTCGCAGAGTCGAGCAAGAAAGATATGCAGACTTTGCCCGTGTCAAAGCTGCATACAAAAAAGACGAAGAGGCGAGGAACGCCTCTGCGAAGGACGTCTCCATGGCGGAGGGATCGGGTTTCGGAATTTTAGAAACCGAAGAAGAAGTTTGAGGACTCGGCAGTCCTTGGTGAAGTCTACGACAACTTTCACAACAAAAAGCAGGAAACCAGTCGACAGCAAAGGTTACCTGAGAGCTCATCTTTTGCTCTCAGCAGAGATTAGGAAAAGTCACTCGGAAGATGTGACAGGAAAGGAAACGAGCGAGAAGCGCGGGATCTGGACCACATATGAAATTCTTCTAAATTATATTTTTTTTTTCAGGGTTTTTTCAGTTTTTTTTTATTTACGCTTTGATTTTAGTTTTGATTTAAGTTATGTTGTTAACTTCATCTACTTTTGTTGAGGTTCCCGCGGTTGGAATGAGTTGGGCCTATACGCAGAGAACCCCACCGGCTCCACCAGTCTTGTACCGATAGTGGACCTAGAGCTTTAGCTTAGGACTTTAAAATAAAAAACAAAAACAAAAAAACACAGGTCAGCCCCCGCGAACATGAAGTGTTCGTGCGGAGAGGAGACTACAGCAACGCATTTCATGCATTGCAGTCTTTACACTCGCCGCACGCGTCAACTAAGGGGTTCCGCAAAATATCGAAAATTTCTTAAGATTCTTTTGGGGCCCAAGTGTCTCGGAAAATTTTCAACCTTTGCGCAAGAAACTGGCTGCTTCAAATGCTAACCTGTGACATTGTCTACAGCTCTCAGCATGGACGAAGAATAATATTTATTGAGGAAACTGTGAAAGGGAAGAAGTCTGGATAAGGAGCGCTGGTACTGGACCACGAAATTGAATTTTCCTTTTTTTATTTATTTTTCTATTCGATTATCAATTCATTTTATTGTCCTGTCTGAGTCTATGACTGTGTAGGACATGCAGGTCCTCTCTGCCTGTAGGCCAAGGATACCTATACCTCCCATACAGCTCCCTTCAAACAGTGCCACCCCTCACAAGTCCACATTCGATCATACACCAAGAGGAGCGCTTTGCCCTTCATCATCTCCTCTCTCCAGCCAACGAAACGATGGCCATTTGCGGGTGTATGGCAGCCGAGAAAAATCGCAAAAAAACCACTGGGTGCGGAGCTCTCCTAATACCAACATTAGGACTAGATCCGAAGACATAGGGGCCCTTCTAATGCGTTCGAAGAGCCCGGCAAACTGGACATTGCAGACTTGTGGGTACCTCTGAGAATTCACCCTCTGCCTTTCTAGCCTCCTTCCAACTCCTTCCCGAAGGTCGTGCTGAAACGTCAGAAAAGTCTTGACAGTGCGTAATTGTTGTATAGTAGCTTAGCCCGGCTTCTTTTGTGCCGTCCAGGGCGCTGGGGAGTGCCATTGGCTCATCGAAAGAAGAAGCTCTCCTGGCTAATTAGCCGAAATCTTGGACTTGGCGCACACACAAAATCCAAAGTTGAAAACTCCTGGAATATGTCAGTCCCAGCATGGTCTTGAGAGACCTCTTTCCTCTCTCGCTCCACATCTCAGCCGCCTGTCCTTCCTCAAGATGTGTAACCCCATTAGAGCAGCAGTCCCCCATAAACCAAGACCCCAGCTTTGTATATTATGACTTAATTTCCTCCTTGCAGGTATACGTAGCGTCGTAAATTTGTAGTGAGTGATGGCCGGCGATGAATGAGGAAAGCTCCTGTTTGCAATTGGGGAGACGCCTTTATCGGTCGGCGAGGCGAGATGATATGTGTTTAGATCGGGGTTGAGGACTCAGAATATAATGGTGAGTGCTGCGTGGTTGAGAAGTCGTCAAATGGAGATATGCATGTGTTTGCTTTCGACTTCGATTCGGATGCGATTCTTCTTGGCTATCCCAGATATGCAGAGTATACTGAGCGATTTCACCTGCACCACTGGAAGGTGAAGAATTCGTCTTTGCCGGCGAAATCTGAGGTGGTCCGGTCATTTAAGTGGGACGAGGTATAACCATACTCGATTTGAAGATAATTGTTAAGTTAAAAGATATGTCCGGTTTGGGAAAGACCTAGCCGAGTTAGTTAAGGTCAAACTCAGGAGTCGCGTCAACAACGCTACTCATGTAGATCAGTCGCATGGAGAAAGTTTGTACTTGGTAGTTTTGAGTCTATCTCACCCTTGTAAACATAACCATCGCTTCTCATTCTATCTGACTTTCATCCATTGTGATAATTGCCACGTCTTCTCTACAGTCATACAGCTATAGAAGGCCTCCCAATTTAATAATATTCGCCCTGTAGCGATGTCTTCTTCGCGCACGCATTACTTTCTCATGGTAAAAACAACAAATCAACGATATTCGATATACTGATGTCGCCGTCGCCATTTTATCGTAATATCTCCATCTAGAGAGAAGGGAGGCAAATTCCGAACAAGAATAAACTAAATTTGCAAATGAAAGGAAAATTTTGAAATAACAGGTTGGTAGGAAAATAATACAAAAATACAAAAGAAGGGTATATATATGTCAAAGGGCTTGTCCCTCACTGTCTATGAGGGCAAAGTTAGAAACTATCCAATTTGAACATGAAAATTTAGCCAGTATCTAATGTAGATTCTAGGAGTCCTCCATAGTCATAGACTCAGTTAGGACTAAAATAATAATCTAAACTAATCGTAATATCGAATAACTGTCATGTGATGGTACCATTGTCATCGGCTAAAGCCTGAATGTGTTTAGTACTATGCCTAATAATCAGGGCATAGTTTATTGTTTCCAAGTTTAATTCCATGTCATGCACTTCTGTAACGGTTGTTAAGCCTAGGGATTCCTGTAGCCTACGCTGGCTAGCGCAGGCAATGAATGCATGGGAATCTTTGGGAAGGATCTCGGAGTACAAGGAGCTTAGAAGATTCTCAATGAACCTTCTGGAAGCACACTGAAGGTTCATGAGGACAATAGGTGTATCAAGAATCTTCTACGGTATGGTCGAGGATTCCATGTTACTCTAGTCATAGGGGGAACCTTACAGAAGAGGAATATCTCAGAGTATATATTTGTATTCTAGCTAACTGAATTTTTTTTCTAGAAAATAACAATTAATATACTGTACCTGCAAGATCGCCCAAGCATGTTGTACTGAAACCGTGACAACTTCGCCACGCAACTTACTGTGCCTCATGCAAACATATTCTCAAATAGCTACCAAGATTACAGACACGACAACGAGATTATGGAGGTGGAGGAGGTCAATCTTATGGATATCATAACTGCATATACTATGCCATAGCAGGAGGACGAGGATGAGGAGGCAGCTGAGCCAGATGCCAACTCCATGGAGCTCACGATACTCTTGCGCATGAAAAGAAGCCTCCAGCCACAGGCAGAGCTTAATAGAAATCAAGGGACATTAAATAGCTCGTTTAAATAATACATGAGGTAGAACTATATGACGTTTGATTTGCGAAGAAGCGTGAAGATTTGAAGTTTATTTTGTACCTTAGCAGGGCCCAGAGTAGCATCATGACACAAGTGAGAAGCGAGCACGTTGGGCTCAATGCTTACTTATGCAGAAGGAATGTGCCAAGAGTAGGAGAGCCATGCTGTCAGTGTGAATATCCGGCCCAATATGTGAAGCACATGGTGTTGTCTTGTCCAAGATGGACAAGGGGAAGAGGCGAGTTGCTATTAAAATCGAGAACTCGATCTTTCGAAGCTATAGTCAATAACGTCAAAGATATGACTAATATTGCCCGGTGTATTCAAAAGGAAGAATGGTGAGAGCAGTTTCGGATGACCGGGGAAATCGAGGCGTTAATCAGGCGAAGAGAGGAAAATAGAAACACACGACAAGGACGGAATCTACATTGGCAACAGCAATGTGGGTGCAATTCCTAGAGGCAAAACTATAAGGGCGTAGAGTCCAATCAGACAGCTAGGGGGGTTTTTACTGCAAGGTTTCCTCCTATGTAAATATTTGAGTTTCGTAGACACCTACATGAGCCTATGGTGGGGATTTTGCGGCGTATTACCGTCGCTTTTTTGTGGTTATGAGCTATGTGGAAGTCACATTGCGGAGTGATGAGGAGTGGATAATGTTATAATTTGTGGTTGACAGTGAGTAGCCTCATACAATACTATGCTGTAGGTATATGGACAGAAAGTATAAGGCTAAAGCTGTGCCCATTTACTGTGGGTACATCTATGAAACTATATACAAGCTCGCCTAACCAGTGCACTAGTGATGTCAGATGTGGCCTTGAGCCACACGCGATGCCCTAGCCTCGACTACTTGTCTCATATCATAACACGCTTCACGCACGAAGATGCAAATCTAGTTTGTAGCTGTGGGCCAGAAAAGACGCCCACCCACTTCACACGCTGTCGGACATGCAATATTCTGAAGCGTAAACTTAGAAAAGACTTAAGCTTAGATGCTTTTACCAGGCAACTCCTCGGACATAAAGGATTAGAGAAGTTTAAAAATTTTGCATGGGTTGCAGGCTGCTTCGGTGGGCTGGACGCATCCTAGTTCTGGGCTGAATGCAAGGGCAAATACGCTGGCGGAGGACAGATCAGGATGAAGATTGCCGACTCGAAACCATTGATTATTTCTTTTCTGTTTCTTCACTACATCATTTATTTAACGAGCCCATGATTTATTAGCTCTAAAATGGGTGTGAACGAGTCGGGCAAGCGGAGGGCATGACTGAACACCTGTACGCGGTATCCTCTACGAACCTGGGAGTGAAATATTCTCCCAGAGCCAAGTTCAGTCAAATTTCGCAATATCAAAGAAGTTGGCCCACGAGGCAAAAATCAAAATTAATCCTCCACGTCAAATGTTCACTCCCAACGAGATCGATTCCCGCCTAAACCTCGTCAAGTCTACAAGTACGACCTAGTGCATCCTCATTCCGATGGTCGCACTTCTCGTCGACTTTCTCTGGCCTCAGCCGGTCACCAAATACACGCCCACGCCGATATTTACACCCGACAGAGGAAGCAAAGCGTGGAGCACAAATCTGGGAGACTGTTCTTTGGGATTGGCGTGAGAGGGATCAGGACAAGTTCACAAGATGATATAAAGGATGGATGCAGTCTCAACGGGCGTGGAATTTCGAATTTTGGCAAGGATTTTTACAAATTGAGCTTTGTGCGTGTCAAGGCTTTGGTTGCGAGAGTGCAGGCGACACTATAAACATCGCCATGGTTGGATGGTGCGGTGGTACATCGTCTTGGCCGGTCTGCTAAGTAGAGTCTGGATAGCTTGGACACATATCCTACTTGAGACAGTAGATCGCTGGTCCAAATCCGGCAAAACACAACCACATTTCTCGCGGCGCTGGTTTACATGGATGACGTAGGCATGCTTGGATAACCAAAGGTTTTGAATTTTCTTTTGGTGGATACTTGCGGAGGAGGTTCGACTGTTTGTGTAAGCGAACATACCTCATAGTGGTATTTGCGAATGAAATTCAGAGTATGAGTGTCTCTAACGTCAAAAGAGTCATGCTACATGTACACATAGCACTGGTCATGTGTCATAGCTCTATAGCTGAATACACATTGAATGATTTTTTTAAAAAAAAAAAGAGTCGGGCAAGCCTAAAGGTTAAATCTTGGCCGGCTCCACCGGTCCTACATCTAAATAGATTGAAGGCTACGGCCTTGGACTTAAAACAAAAATAAATAAATACATGGGACCATGGGGGCGCCAAATAGGGCTAAATGAAATTAAAATCCAAATCAAAAATTTATGTTTATACTAAGGAAATAATGGCCCCTCAGTCATTTAGGTTGTAGAGCGCACTGATTCAAGTAACTACTGAAGTTAAACCAATTATAGAATTTGTAGTCATGTGTGTACCAACGACGTGGCCTACTTGATAGCCCCAATTATCCTAAATTCTAACTATTTAGCTGTTTCTACGTCTACCGGGTACTAGCTACAACAAAAGCCCCATTTCTGAGGGGACGTGGTGACTGTCAAGAAGATTTTATGAGGTTGCCTAAGTAAATGTGTTAGTACGTAATATCATGTGATAATATTATCCACTTAAACCTTATGACGATAAAAAATAGCGACGTTGAATCATTTTTTTTGCATCAGATTTTAATTGCGTATGCAGCTATCTAGCTATGACACAATATCAGAGAAAAGTACAGAATAGATGATTCAACGTAAAGGAAGAGCACTCATGCCTCAGATTTCATTTGCAAGCGCCACTGCGAAGTTATGGTGGCTTTTTCTTCACCCCAAGTCAACCCTCATCCGTGAATACCCACCCAGGGGAACATCTCAAAAACTCTGAGTTATCCAGACATACCTCCATCATCTTTCAACTTTTCTCCGCGCGATATGTGATCTGAGGTGTCTCTTTCCCAAGTGGAGTAGGTGCCCAGGCTACTCAAACCATACCAGAGAACACCACCAGGTGACGGACCTCAATACCTTCCATCGTTTGCTTGTGTTTATAGTGTCAGCTGCACCCTCACAAGCGAAGTCTTGGCGCGCACAAAGCTCAATTCGTAAAACTCTTGCCAAAATCCCGGATTTCACTTCCTTCGGGACTAGATCCTTCCGCCGCATCATCTTGTAAGCTTGTCTTGATCCCTCTCATGTCCATTCCAATGAGCTATCTCCCAGATTTGTGCGCCACGTATTGCTTCCTCCGTCGGGTGTGAATATCGGCGTGGGCGTGTATTTGCGACACTGAAACACATCGGTATAAGGAGTCCGCACAGTATCTGTACTTCATGGTAGCTATCCTGATCCGGCCCCACTCGTGCTTAAGATCCAGTAGGAGTACGATTGGTGAAATGTACCTAGCATGTTGATGAATAAAACAAATACCTTTTATAGGCGTCGAGTAGTTCGTCGGGGACTGGCCTTGCCGGCACGTTTCAATAGTTACATGCTGTGCATTGGCACAACGTTAAATTTAATTAAGTCAAAATCATTTTGTGGCATGTTGTACTAACAAGAAAAAGCTAAATAAGTGTTCTTCAGCAAATGATTGAATGGATTACATGTGCCATCGGAAGCAATAAGGAGCTTTCTGGTCCCAAAAACGTTAAACAGGACTGCGGTTGACCCTTCTTGAACTGAATAATCCGTGATGATCCAATAACTTGCTATCACAAGAATAGTTTATCTATACACGTTCGCGATATGCCTTTCGAAACATACAATGAGTTTCTTAAATTATTCAAAAACTCTAGTAGCAAAATGCAACTTGAACGTGAAATAACTCCTGCATTCTCCTCCTAGCAAAACTTTTAGAAACTTGAATCTAGGTTCCTGAAGTTATACCTTATAGTCGCCGCTCGTGTCCACAAGATAGTATAGTTTATAAAATCCCTCAAATCAATTGAGTCCCAAATCAGCCATACAAAGTTGTGGAATAAACAAAAAACAATCATCGTCACATATGCGTACGAAGTACTCCCTAAAAGTGCTCCTTCCAAAAGGAGAAATTTACATTTGCTGTCGTCGACTTCTTGCAAGCTCCTTTAATCTGTTTCGCCAAAATATTGCTACCTGAATCAGGTTAGATTGTGAATTCCATATCAGGAAAATTACTCACCACAGTAGTAAACACCAATATTCGTTTTGGAATTATGCCTCAATCCAGTCAAGTAGGTTCCTTCAGTAAGTCCTCTTCTGATACCTTCAAAGAGTTTCAGGAAATCAGGGCGACCAAAATTCATCCTTGACTGCAAGTCTGTTAAGGGATCCACAGTCATGCCAACTGTATTGAGAATAATGTTGTGTCTCATGTCATGATCCATTTTTTGGGTAAGGTATGTGTGGATCCGCAAAAATGAGCCATTGCCATAGTCTTTGCCTGGTAACGACGCCTCGGCATTGGATTGCTGTTCAAGCGATGCTAGTAATGTTTGAAACCAGGCAAAAGAATTGGTATCCTTACAAATCCAGACGAATTCCACACGACGTAGACGGGGAGGGGGATTAGGTGACTTGCGCATGTGCCAGATATTTTTTAGAATTGAGGCCCAAGGGGTCACACCAATCCCGGTCCCAATTAAGACAGCTACTTCATTCTCGAAAACGTCTTCAGCCGGCGCACCATAAGGCCCATCAATGCGTAGTTCCGGCATAACTTTTCCGTTTTCTAATGCAACTTCGCACATACCATCAGATTCAAGATTTTCGTAAAGTTTTATTTGAGCAGGACCAGCGCCGAAAGCATCCGCAAGACTACGGGTGAAGTCTCCGACTTGTCGAACATGAACTGATATGTAAGGGTCTGAAGGACATGATGTAATGGTGAAAGGGTGCCATTGGTATCGAGATACAGATGGTGCATTTAGGAAGAGCCATTGACCTGCCCTGTATTTCATTGATGGCTTGCTAAACTGAATCTCCAAGGCGTCTATAATAAGTTTAGTAAAGTTGTTGGCGAACTAGCAGGGAGACTAACCATAAGGATGTCGAACAATTCGAACTATACTTGTATCTCTTCGAGCACGAATTTCCCGATACAAACGCTCTATCAAATAAAATCCACCTCCCCATAGCTCCCAGCGCCAGCCTTCGTATCCGAGACAATGGCCCCAGAATCCGTCATGGTCGAATGGTGAGAATGGTGTTGCTGTATCTCGTACAAAACACCCCGTCGCATGAGTGTAAAGACCGAGCATGAATGGAATGAAGAGATGATGGGTATACCAAAAAGTTTCGAATGATTGTTGGCGAATCTTGGCATGTGCGGTGGTATACATAAGAAGCATACAAAGCATCATTATGTGCCCTGTGATTCCACCCACTTGAGTATAATGAATTTGAAGAGCGGTAACTTTTCGAATTTGTGTCTTTTCCACATTAAAAAAACTGTAGGGCTTAGTGAGTGACAGTTCTTGGTATTAAATCAACTGTAGCTTACTTGACATAGTGAGCGGTGACGTGAAATGTTGTCCAAAACAAAATTGAGTAGGCTACCTGTCGATGAAACCATTGAGATTCGTCAAGCGGTAAAAATCTGAGCTTTGGACGAATAAATCTCAAGATATTCCGACACATGGGAAGAAGAATCATTGAACCATCGACCGATAAGACCATTCCAGCGCCTCGCGATATCCAGACGGAGTACAAGAGTTTGTTGAGACCCGCTAGCCTAACCTCATTCTGTTGCTTTCTCCTAGTTGAGCATTAAAGAAGATTCATGGTTGAAATACTATCCAAATTACTTACCAGCCATATGTGAAGAGGGCGACATGAATTCCATGGAAAAGGATGATAAATACTAATTTGGGTGTTTGCAACTGCCTTTGGATGTAATCAGATGCACCCATAGCGACGAATTATTTCGGGTCGACCGGCGACGATATTAGTCGGCAAATGAAAGATGTTAGGGAGAGCTAAAGAGGAGTAATTCCTCGTGGACACGAAATTTACGTGCCCAATATTTTTACGAAGACCGTCGACAAAGAGTGTGATTGGAGTAGCAACAGGGGCTGCAGAAAAGCGATAGAAGCCTTCAACGCTTCTTATTGAATTTATTTCATCGTTGAGGGCCTTGTGCAGACAAAGTAAGGTTAGAAGAAGGGGTGGTGCTTGTGCAACAGGAAACCCTGAGAACACGAGTTGATAAGAGACCTGGCCGGTTTGAGAATATTCCTGGTCGCTTTCCAGATCTCTTGGGGAGCTCGTGTGCCCTATCAAGCACTGCGAGGTTACATCAAGGAATTTTGTTTGGCACTAAATTATAGTATCGAAGCTCAAGGGCGCAATTAATTGGCTCAACTCTGCACAATTCTCGCCTTTTCCTTAAGTGACATGATGGTTTGATGATTAGTTGACTGGCTGTGTGAGGTGTAGCCAGTCAGTAAGTCATTCTCGCAAAGCAGTGCTTTGATGTTTATGGTCTTAGCCCTCTGTATTGATGGATCTGAGTAGCGGAAAGGCGCGGTGAGCAAATGTCTAAAATGAACTGACTCTGAGGTTTCATGCTGGCATCAGAGTTTAACTGTCTGTAAGACTATTTGAAATTTCCAGTGTGCCATCAAAGCTCGCCGTGCTTGGAACCTGGAAATCCGACGCTGATATGAAGAGGAGCTGTCCAATGGTAGTCGTTACAGAAGTAATTGAATGCCCCGACGAGGTAACTACAGGAGCTAGATGATGGCGTGGTGGAGTTCTCTAGAACGAGGGATTCAGTATTGCCAGTAGAATAAAACGATGAGGAACTTTTAGTATATCCCTGGGCCATACTCGTAAGAGTTTGAACCCTCCTACATGTCTTCGGCAACTGACATGTGTGTGTGCGGTGGGGTCGAAATCAATAATTTAAGTTAGATTATGGACATGCTTGCACACTCTTCATTCAGGCGGATACACAAGCTGAAACATTGACAGCATGAACCCTTTATCATACACTTCCATGTAAAATCATGCGGGCCTCGCTCCTCTGCTGCCGAAATAGCATTTATAGATCTGCCGGCGATCTTCGCCTTCGTAATTAAGAGTTCAGTGTAAACGCTCAAAACGTTACCGAATCCCTTACGCCTGTCAATTCCCATTTGGTTGTAACATCGAGATAAAACGTCGAACTTGTTGAGCCTGACTCTCTATTCTGGCTCTACAGAACTTGTACCTGCAGCTGTGAGAGTATGATTGCCTCGTTATCTAGGCACATGCCACTATTTTGACTTGGCCAACAGAATCTTTAATATCTTTGAAGTACCTAAGATAACTACAGAAGACAAATTTTGGAGTGACTCATCATCTAGGCTTGTCTCCAATTACAGAACGTGGAACTTAGGCCCTATCTCATTCGAGACAGCAAATCACTGGTTCGGATCTAGTGATGCTCCCTCATACACCTCGCGATTCTTGTATACAGAATTGTGATGCCGGGCCTGGATAAATAAAGACTATGACACCTACCCCTGAAAGATACTGACAGAAAAAAAGCATGTTTGTTTTACCTGCGTATATACTTTGTAATAGAATTGCAGCCATAATCTTCAGTATGAGTGTCTGAAAAAAAAAAAAAAGGTTGTTTGGACCGCAAATACTCTTCGTAATTAGCCAGTCTGTACCTTCACTCAGTCACAAACTCCTGGCAGAAACAAGATAACTTTTCACACGATTCCCAGCAAGATCGGAGCGAGATATGTCTCAGTCAACTTGGGATCAAAAGTAGTCGGAATTCGATACCTTTTCCAAGCCAAAATTGTTGCTTTAATGGAACAATATGTGCCCCAATTCTCAAAATCTTTAACTACTATTTATAAAGGCCGCCAGAAGCGCATGTTCTAGGGATTCCTAGGAAAAGCACGTCCTCGGGTGATATCTAACCCTGTAAAGTATGAAGTCTTCAAAGTAACTCGGACTTGGAGGACAAAGATTAGTAAAGGGGGACTATTACCAACACCTGTCAGTGCTGTCCCCTACGAACCTCCAGCTTTCACTGTGGAGTCTGTAGACCCAAGATTGAGTAACAAAGTCCTCACTTCGACAAGGATTCCCAATCGTATTCGCGGTCTGTATCGTCTTCATCCCTAAGCACAAACCCTCTAACACCGCTATCATGAAGATAACCATGATCAGATCAGATGGTAGGTTCATGGGCCTATTCATCACCAACCCTTGCTTGTGGAGGAGAAGCTATCCGATGAGTTTCCGGAGTGTGCCCATCACCCGATACGGAGATGGCGGATTGGATCAAGTCAGCCTCGACTATTACAATGAAGGAAGATATAGATGAATACGCGCACCTCATATGATCCCGGTGTCTAGGCCTCGCCTAGCTGAGGCTGAAGGCATTTTTGAGACGTTTTCTCGCTCACGCAATTTCCATTGCTACCTTTTTTTTTTTTTTGAGTAGAAGGTTCCGTGGGAAATGTGGCCGAATTCCACGGGTAAACACTGAGCTGAATGGCTATTCATCACAGGCAACATATCAATGATCTAATAAGTAACAAAATAGGCAAGGAGCACTTTACAAGGTGTGGCCTGAGTCAGAGAGGAGCCCAATGTGATAGATAGTCTTAGACTCAAGAAGTACAACAAAAACATCACATCACCCTCATGAGATATATTTGTGATGACAGATCGACCAACCTTCGCTAATGGTTACTTACCAGAGAAAAGCTTTTAACCCTCTGACTATCCAGACATCCTTATCCAATATATAAGCACCGCGAGAAACATGCTTGAGTCTTGCTCGACCTGAACAAGCCATATCTTGTCTCAAGTAGGATAAATGTCCATGCTTTCTAGGCACTACTTAAGAGACTAGCTCGGATGACGGATAATGCACCATTAAAAGTTGGTCATATTTATAATACCGTTCATATTCTCGCAGATAAAATCGTAGCACACTCATTAGTATCGCAGACTTTAGCCCGCTCAAAAACAATAATTATTCGTTAGCCTAATTCATCTCGAAGTATCGAGAGGAGACTATGTTGATCAATCAGCCTCTGAAGAAACGAGCTGGCGTTTGAAATAGCCTATCATTTAGATGGAAAGGTCTGTAAGCAAACGGATCCTATTATCATTTTCCTTAAGAACCCAGGGCTCAGGACTCGTCAGATATAAATTATCGATAGCCACGCCTCACTCACAACGAGAGCCTAATTTACCCGTTCGACGACGATGCACTTCTCAACATATCATAATCAAAAAAAATTATGTGCCCCCCGCTAGACGACGTCCCAAGTGATATTCGCTCAGGAGATTGGATAGAGAAGACGATTTAGCAAACCCCAATGGTATATAACTTAAACCCCTCGTTATCGACAAATATGCCTTAGCTGTGTATGTTGTGGTTACGAGCTGTGCGGAAGTCACATTGTGGAGTGATGAGGAGTGGATGATGTTATAATTAGTTGTTGACAGTTCTTAAGAAAAATACGTGGGACACGGTATTACGTTGTAAATGTTGACTAAAGAGCCCTATAGCCACAGATGAAATCTATGTACTGCTATGAATGTCATGTGACCTGTCTAGCTTAGTTTACATGAGTAGGTGAAATGTTACCCTTAGACAACGGTGAATAGACTCAGACAATATTGTGCTGTAGGTCTGTGGACAGAAAGTAGAAGACTTAACCTGCGTCCATTTATTGTGGGTACATCTATGAAACTATATACAAGCTCGCCTAACCAGTGCACAAGTGATGTCAGCTGTGGCCTTGAGCCACACGCGATGCCCTAGCCTCGACTACCTCGTTGTTTCATATCATAACAGTGTAGCCTTAACTCTTGATCATTGTGCATTTGTCGGAAATATCGCGCAATGAAATGGGCGCTGTATATATGGAACGAAAGTAGAAGTTGACTAAAAGAGTGTCATGTTCGGATTGCATCTAAAAGTATGGGAGATGTGCGCTCCAAGTACAAGTGCAAGCGACACAGAGCCTGAGCCACAGCATAAACGAGTGTGACCCCATCTAGGTATAGAAAACCCCCAATAACCTACTCGTGCTCACGCCATGCAGCCGCTCATATATCCAGTAGGTAGCCTGAAGCGCTACCATATTGCCCATTCCTACCTCTTACATACACACAAAATCGTGTCGGGAACCTAGACGAAATGGAGGGTCCATACGGCCACAACACACCGTGTCTCCATTTCCAACAACACATCAAAGATTGGGAGACGTATACCACGTAGGAGATTTCTTGGCATCAGTTTACCTTTATTCACAGCGGTAGTGCTCTTGATGCTTCCGACAGAGGTTCAACAACTACACCTTAGCATCGTACAGTATCTTTTTTCCATAGCTTGGGACAGAGCAAGGACGACAAAATCAAACTTTGATGTCGTCTATTTCTACTTCGAGCTGTATCTTACTATGACAGACTGGTCTTTCGGAGCATTATTATCGACGAGATGAGGCACGGTGGTCCCTATGGCTGGCTTGTTGACGGATAAAATTTGATGAAAAAAAAAGAGCACAAATTAACATTATTCTAACAATTTAGGCCTTTGGAAGGGAAAGCTAAACCGTTAAAGAGGTAGAGAGGTTCATATCAAGGATAAGAAAAGCGAAACAAGTACCATACGAAGGATAAGGATAACTTTTTTATTGTAATAATTAAAGCCTGCCCAGCGGGAAAGCCATACGTCAATATGATTCCGGTGAACTTAGGCCATGATCTCTGTGCTGTCTCCTCCTCAAGCTAGGGCAATACATTCAATCTCGACTGGTACACCTTTCGGTAGCTGCGCAACAGCCACACAGCTACGCGCTGGTCTATGCTTGAACCACTTTTCATACGTTGCATTCATCTCATTGAAATGATCCATGGTGGTGATAAAAACATTGACTTTGACGACGCGTTCGAGACTCGAGTTAGCTGCAATGAGTACAGCACTAAGGTTCTGAATGCAAACTTCCGTCATTTGACCGATATTTGAAGTCGAGAGGTCAAGGATAGTGCCACTCGTATCACACGGAATCTGACCTGAGCAGTAGATGTTGTTGGCTGTCTTGATGGCCTGGGAATAGGGGCCAGCTGCTACAGTGCGCATTAGTAGGCTTAAGCAGAAAGGAAGAGTAAGAAGGCATACGATATGGGGCATCTTCCGTGAAGATTTGTTGCATTTCTTCAGCCATGGTAGTGAATTGGATGCTGAAACAATGTGAGAGAATGGAAGAGCTTTAGGTATGACTTGGAAGTGAGAAGCGCCGAGTAGAGGCAGTTGCTGTCGATTTATGTTTTGTACGCCAGGCGGGGTAGGGTGAGGTGGGGCGCACGATAAGAGGATCCCTCCAGATAGCAGACGATGCCCCTTGGTTGAATGTCACTCCAAAATAGTCGCCTATTAAATTGGGTCGCAATAGTGTCCGCATATATTACAATTGTATAGCACGGGTGCCGTCTAGAGGTAGCTTGCAGAGCTCTCATGACAATAATCGTTGGTCATTAGAGCTTCAGGTCGCTCACGAAAGAACTTTAGATAATCGGCCCGACGCGACTGGGAGCATTTGAAAGTGATGCCTTCTGGCCAGGACCCATAAGTTATTAGATTTGACAGGCAGAGACATGGTTTGTCGACCTTCGCAGCAGGCAAGTCGCATAGGGAATAAACGGAGAATAAACAGAGACTAGCGGATGCCTCGAGGTGCAGTAACGGTAACGGCTAGACTTCCAGTTGGTCGAGGCGGCGGCAAGGCATGGTTGGTCGTCATCCAATCACGTCCATAGTACGTCCGACACTCAGCTCCAGCGTCCCCACGTCGCCGTCTCTTCCATGCCGAACTAGCGGCTGTGGAGCCTATTGGCCGGGTACTCAAATGCTAAATCTAGCCCGCGCCCGCGCCATCGCCGATGAATACCCGAGTATAATTAAATTATACAATTATCCTGATTTGGCGCTATGAGGCGCCGCACAGGTGTTTACAGAAGATGTGTATTTTGTGTAGTGTGATTTACTTTAATGTTTGGAAGACTCACTCTCAGGTTTTAATTGCAGACACTACTTGAGGTTATATCCTGCGGCATGTAACCTCTTCCAAGCGTACCCCCTATAGGTGGAAAGCTCGAAGAGCTGATGTTTGTCCGGGTGCGCTTTCGTCACTCTGCTAACACAATACCACCGCGAGAGAGTGTGGTGTATGCGTCTCACTGGACTCGAACCAGCTTTCTCTTGTCTCAAACGGGGTAGGTGTTCAAGCTACCCAGAATTTATCTGGGAATCAATGATCGTTCAACTAACACATAAGGATAGGAGCACTATACAAGGTATGGCCTGGGCCAGCCTCCAATGGCATAGCCTCGACATCAGCAACGGAGTTTCTTCTAGAGCTGCAATCAGTTATGGAGGCCGAAGAGCTTTTTCTCTCATTTTATTGTCCTGTCTGAGTTTGTGACTATGTAGGACATGCAGGTTCTCTCTGCCTATAGGCCAAGGATACCTATGCTTCTTACACAGCTCCCCTCAAACAGTACCACCCCTCACAAGTCCTCATTCGATCATACACTAAGAGGAGCGCTTTGCCCTTCATTATCTCCCCTCTCCAGCCAACGAAACCATGGCCATTTTCGGGTGTATGGCAGCCGGGAAAAATCGCAAAAAACGACTGGGTGCTGAGATCTCCTAATACCGACATTAGGACTAGATTCGAAGACATAGGGACCCTTCTAATGCGTTCGAAGAGCCCGGCAAGCTGGGCGCAGCAGACGTGCGGATACTTCGGGAAATTCACGCTCTGCCTTTCTAGCATCCTTCCAACTCCTTCCCGAAGGTCGTGCTGAAACGTCAGAAAAGTCTTGACAGTGCGTAATTGTTGTATAGTAGCTTAGCCCGGCTTCTTTTGTGCCGTCCAGGGCTTTGCGAAGTGCCGTTGGCTCATCGATAAAAGAAGTCCTCCTGGCTGATTAGCCAGAATCTCGGTCGTGGCGCCCACAAAAGTTCCAAGGTCGAAAACATGCCGAAAATGTTAGACTTATTATTCCCAAGGGAGACCTCTTGCTTATTGTCACGGTTCGAGGTATAGATGCTGGGGCGATCAAATATACGAAGGTTGTTTATTATTTTCTCTATGGCTATCTATGTACGTCCAACTTCAACTATTTATTCGCTTACTATTCTATCTAGAATATTCTTGACTAATACCAGTTTCTAGTATTTTCCCCTGAGGCTGGTTCGCAGTCTTACTACTAGTTGCTAGAAATTTCTAGTGATGTCCAGATTAATCTATGATAGAATAGTGGTTTCGTAAAGTTGTGAAGCACGTGATTAACATCATGTGCCACAGGGTAATTACCGGCTCACTAGCCGTTACAATTCCCCTCCTCCTCCATGCATTACGTAAATGCGTGTAGCTGATTTCAGTTTGAAAGAAACACTCCAAAGTTGTGGCCCAGATAATTTTGTTAGATTTTGTTTTTTTTTTGTTTTTTTTTTTTTCATTTTGCTTTATCCCCGTGGCTGCGGAATCTGTTACTCCGGTTCCGACGTCTGCGAAGGGTCCCTGGTTCGGCTGGTCCAACAAACGCTCCGACACTATCTTCTGGCGGACCGTCATTTGTCGCAATCGGTCCATATTTTGCTTCGAAATCATCAAGGGCTTTGGCTTCCTCGATAAATTCCACCGGCTCCCATGTCGGATTTGCTTCGCTTTGTAACGGCTGTTAAGCCTAATTATCCCTGTAGCCTACGCTAGCTAGCGCAGGCAATGAGATCAATGGTGTAATCCAGAATCTTCTTGGAAGTTGTCGAAGAATCCAAACAATTCTGGTCATGGAGGGAATCCTATGGAAGGAGGAGTATTCTGGATTATATATATTTGTAGTCACTAGCTGTTAGAATTCTCTCTCTAGAGAATTATAATTAATATACTGTACCTACAAGATTGCCCATGCATTTTGTTATGAAACCGTGACATATTATAATTCTCTCCACAAACTTCAGAACCGCAGTCAGTCAGTCAGTCAGTCAGAAACGCAGTCAGAATCGCAGTCAGTCAGTCAGAATCGCAGTCAGTCAGTCAGTCAGTCAGTCAGTCAGTCAGTCAGTCAGTCAGAATTGCAGTCAATCAGTCAGTCAGAATTGCAGTCAATCAACTTTGCAAAGATGAAGTGGGATCATTGCAACATTTCTATGGAGGAAAACAATTTTCTTAGGGCAACATGGAAATCAGAAGATCAGCTAGCTAAGCTTCGGAAAGAAGGAAGCTGCTTCAGATGTGAGAAACGGGGATGTCAATCTAGGGTGTGCCACCTTCTTCCAGCAATTAATCCACGAAAGACTAAGAAAAGTTTACATATTTATAAAAAAAATATGAAAGAGGATCCGTATGGTGATGGTCTAGGTCCTATTGATCCAGCAGTGTACGAAGTGGATCCGTATGATGATGGTCTAGGTCCTATTGATCCGGCAGTGTACGAATTGGATCCGGAAGGTGATGGTCTAGGTCCTATTGATCCGGCAGTCTACGAAGTGGATCCGTATGATGATGGTCTAGGTCCTATTGATCCGGCAGTGTACGAATTGGATCCGTATAGCATTTCTCCGAGACTCATAAACCGTCCTATCGAAATTCAGCAAATAAGAGATCGAGGAGAAACAATGGGTTGGTCAGCCAAGAGGTCTGTCATGGGGAGCTGTCTTACAGATCATGAAATGAGAAAGAACACATCGCCACCCCTTATTAATGCCATTACTAGTGATAGACCGATTCAAGAAGAAAGGAAAGATTTTGTGCAGCCAATAATATTGGATAAAAAGTTTTCAAAAAGTTTGACAGCAGCTGAACAAGAACCGAAGATGAATACAAATCCATTTTTAGTTAATGCATTAGTTAACGACGTCACTATGGTGCAAGCATTAATTGACAATGGATGCCTGTGTTCAGGTATCATTGATGAAGAATTAGCAGCCCTACTAAGTTTACCATGTAAACCTATCTCTCCCCGAACCCTTCAAACAGCAGAAAATTCATCTCAAGACAAGCCAATAGTAAAAAGTATCACTTGGGTCTCCATAGACCTTGATGGCTTTGTTACTGAAAAATTGTGGCTGTATGTAGTACCACACAGTACACATCAGATCATACTTGGGAAGAAATGGTTAGAGGACCAGGATGCAGTAATTCATTCCAAAGAGCAGCGGTTGGAACTCAGGAAGAGCGGTGGTTCTGTTTACAGTGTTCGACGCTGGCGTCAAAAACTAAGGGGAATAAAGGAGCCTAAACGTGCTGCTGTTGAGGCATTATCTTTTCTGGAAAAGGGAGTTCCCGTCTGCAAAGCCTCCTTAGACGACATAAATAAGGCACTCCGTACGAAACATTGTCTCAAGATCTCTGATGCTCGAGACCGATTACCGGGCCCTGTGAAGAAGTTCGCGCGCCTCTTTTCTGACGATAGCGGCGCTAATGATCTACCGCCTACACGAGATCACCTTGACCATGCTATAAACCTCCGAAATGAGAATGGGAAGCCAGTCCATCCGCCTTGGGGCCCTCTTTACAGTATGTCAAGAGAGGAGCTTCTAGTGCTTCGCAAAACATTGACAGATCTTCTGGGTAAGGGATGGATCAGACCAAGTAGTTCGCCGGCGGCCTCGCCAGTACTTTTTGCTAGAAAGCCAAACGGAGGGCTACGATTTTGTGTGGATTATCGCGGGCTGAATGCAGTCACTCTTCCAGACAGGTATCCCCTTCCATTATTTAAAGAAACTTTGCGACAACTTTCAAAAGCTAGGTGGTTCACGAAACTAGATGTGAAGTCAGCTTTCCATCGTATCAGAATCAGAGAGGGAGATGAATGGATGACTGCCTTCAGATGTCGCCATGGTCTTTTTGAGTGGCTTGTTACACCATTTGGTCTTGCGAATGCACCTGCAACCTTCCAGCGTTATATTAATGAGCAACTACGAGGACACCTTGATGTTGATGCGACAGCATACATGGATGACGTTCTAGTATACACAAATGGTAGTGAGGCCGATCATTGGAGAACGGTTCAAAGTATCTTGGGAAAGCTAGAGAAGGCTGGTTTGTACTTGGACATTGATAAATGCAATTTTCTATGTCGAGAGGTGAAGTATCTAGGATACATTGTGAGAGCTGGAGACTCGGTGACCGTAGATCCTGACAAGGTCAAGAGCATC